CCCCAAAACCCCAAAACCCCAAAACCCCAAAACCCCTAACAATTTAATTTCCGTTGAAATACAAGGAATGTACCAATATATGTCAATATCAAAGTCTTTAATTTTTCCTTCTTACAAAACCCCTGTCCCAGAGCCAGAAGGAGCTACAGCCCTGCTGTAATCCACGCCTTCAGTGACCATGTCTGCTGCATTGTCCAAGTCAATTGCCTTCGCCAGCTGAGGCTTGATGGACGAGTTGACCTTCAGCTTCTTGGCATCGAATGGATTTGGGAAAAATATGAATCCTCCTGTGCTCAGGCCGTGCGCGGATTTGTAGTTCTTCTGGTTCGGATTGTAAATGAAAGCATGTTCGGGGTCTTCTCTGATGTCTTTGTAGTACACATTGTTGCAATGTGGGAAGTTTACTCTCCATCTATACAAGCTTCCAGCCGATTTTGCTCCATTTCTTTTGGTGGTATTCTCGGTGTTCATTTTAAAATTCTCGTTGTCTTTGAGAGACTCGTAAATGATCAGTTCATTCGCATTTGCAACTGTAGTAGACAGCTTTACCATTTGAGAGACCGTCAGACGGAAGATGTTTACAGGGACTCTTCTGTTCGGGTCGTCAATTGGAGTCATGCTCTCAACACTCTTTGACTGTCCAGCAGCACTTGACTGAGGGAATCTTTGCTCAACAGTTTCCCAAACTGCTGGGTTCGGCTCTTCCTTTGTAATCTCTTGCAAAATCTCTAGTGTTTCAGCATACCTCTTGGCTGCATCCTCGTAGTTGTGGAAGCTAGTGATGGCACTTTCTGGGAAGGGAAGCTCTTGATCCGGGAAAAGATCTGCAAACGTCTTCTGGTAATAATATCTGAGCTCGTAGAAAGTAGTCCAGACTGCCTCGACGATGCTGCTCGGATAAACTCTGGTCTCTACAGACTCGTCAGTCTCGATCATCTTGAGAGTCAAGAACTTCCTGAACTCGTTGAACCACGAGTTGGCGGTTTCGTGGTCGAGGCCGTACTTAACTTCAAGAACCCTGATGACAGCCTGAGACCCGATTCCTTCGGAGTCGATCTTCTTGTGGATTTTGCCGATGGTAGTTTTCTTCTTCTTGGCGACGGTGGGTGCGTACTTGGCTTTGCTGAAGTCCTTGTGCTTGGGGATCTTGAGAGTGCTTTCTTGGCTGTACTTGTTGATGATAATTCTGGCTGTTCCGAGGAGTGCTTTGGGGTTGAGATCTTTGCCGGCTTTCTTTCACTCTGCACCAGCAGATGTGATGAAAGAAGAAATTTGCTTTGGTGTGACCCAGACTGTTGAACAAATGTCACTATCATAATCATCATTCGAGTATTTAAAGCTAGGCTTAAGGATATTAGAAAAGTTCTTGAAATAAGTAATGGTCAATCCATATTTATGATCTGGTGCGATCTTTCATTCTTTATCCAACTCTTTTAAAATAGGTCTTTCTAAAATGAATCCAAAAATTTCTCTGCAGAATCTCTCATAAATCCGAACACCTTGCCCTTTATCTATAGTGAAGGTTAGACTTCCCTCATGAATATTGGGTTAAAAGACTTACCATCTGGTACATCTAAGGAAATAAGAATGGTCCAAATAGAATCAATAACAGGAGGAGCAAATAGTCCAACATTTTTAGCTCTGCTTTGGGTTTCTTTCTCTTTCTTTTCTTTTTCTGAAGCAGCAGCTTCTCTCTTTCTCTCTTGCTCTAGGAAAACTTTGTTTAGGAACATGAACTTCTTAAACTCAGTGAAAGAGATATGAGCTACTTGGGGAGTGACAAATTCAGCTCTGTCGTTTGTCAACCTCATGAGGATAATTTCTTCTACTGTCAAATATACTCCCTCCTCTTTACTCTCCTCTGAGCCTAAATTTTTGAGGCCTTGGTTCCAATCGAAATTGAGTATTTTATTATACTCTCTTGTCTCTTTAGAGTTATCTCTTCCAATATCAAGGTATTCTGTTCTTGATCCACAACAACTTCCCATGATGTCAATTTTAATTAAATCTTTACACTCAATCCCTAAAGAAAAACTCGGGGTTTTGGGGTTTTGGGGTTTTGGGGTTTTGGGGTTTTGGGGTTTTGGGG